CGCAATCTAATTGCAATTAACACAATTAATTGCTAGAATTATCTCTCATTATCGTATCACTGTCTTGTTCAAGCAGTGGATTAAGATATTTCCATTCATGATTGTCCAGGCACAATTATCATAATAAAAAATTTATTATTGTACACGTAATGAAATGAAACGCCATTCGAATTCTCTAAAAAGAAGATTCTGGCGTAGGATTTTCGTAACGAATCCTTGTTCCAGAAGAGGAAAACAGTGAATACTCAAGTGGCGTCAGACAATCAGCTAGAATTTCCTTCGAAGACGACTTGTTTGGAAATCAAAAGCAGAACAAACGCAACACCCTGTTGACCCAGACTCTTGAGAAAAATCGACAAATCCTTTTGCACGAGGAACGTGTCGTGGAGGGCCACAACGAGCAAAAGGAGGTAAAAGAGGAAGATGATATCGGCGATGCAGACAGTGGTAGAGGAGATAGTTCGGTTTCCAGCGATATGAAGGAGGAGGATCTACCGGATCATTTGCAACTTGGCTCTGAATTCACATTCAGAGTTACTGTATTGCAGGCCATGGGCATTTCTACCGAATATGCTGACATTTTCTGCCAATTCAAGTACGTTCAGAACTATAATACAATAATAAACAGATTCTATGCAAGATTAATAGTTAATGTACAACTGTGATATATCTCGTTCATAGTTTCTTGCATCGGCACGATGAAGCATTTTCAACAGAGCCAGTGAAAAATACCGGAAAAGGAAATCCACCTGGATTTTATCACGTGCAAAATGTATGTAGCTATGTTAAAAAAGAAAAGAAATTTACTTATGTATGATTATGATTAGCTTTGATTATATGTTTATTCTTTTCCTTGAATTCCTGTAGATTACGGTTACGGTAACAAAATCGTTCTTGGAATATCTAAAAACTCAACCGATTGTTTTCGAAGTTTTTGGACACTATCAGCAACATCCTTTGCATAAAGATGCCAAGCTGGAATAGTAAGTATTAAGTAATTCCTATGAAATTTACAATTATAGAATACAATTCGCATGTAATAGTGTTTAACAATTTGATGAAATATTGTCTTGTTAAATTACAAATACACTCAGTTGCATTGTATTTGTATTTCACAGCGTGAGACAACCACCAAAGAGAATGCTTCCACCATCTATACCTATCAGCCAACCTGTACGCTCACCAAAATTCGGTAGTGTTTTACCATCCCCTAGCACGTCACATGTTCACGCGAAATACGACGTATTAGTTTGGTTCGAGATTTGCGAATTGGCGCCGAACGGTGAATACGTGCCGTCCGTGGTTGACCATAGCGACGATCTACCGTGTCGTGGACTGTTTCTCCTTCATCAAGGAATTCAGCGTCGTATTCGAATTACCATCGTACATGAACCAGCGTCTGAACTACGATGGAAAGATGTGAGAGAGTTAGTTGTCGGACGTATCAGAAACACGCCAGAACCAGAAGAAGAGGACAACGATTCGTCAGTGCTTTCGTTGGGTCTTTTCCCTGGCGAATATTTAGAAGTGCCCGGTGATGATAGATGCATGTTTAGATTTGAGGCAGCGTGGGATAGTTCTCTTCATAATTCAGCCTTGCTCAATAGAGTAACAGCTTACGGAGAGCAAATCTTCATGACCATTTCTGCGTATCTCGAGGTACGCTTATTCTAATAATAATTTCATATTATTCTCCTTTCTAATGTTTCATGTTATACGTACATTTAATAGAGATCTAATTACTTGTTATACATTTAATAGAGACTAATATTAGATCCATCCCTAGCTGTTATCATTGTTTCTTTTCTAGTTGGAGAATTGTGGAAGACCAGCCATCATCACGAAAGACTTGAGCATGATCATTTATGGCAGAGATGCCAGAGTAGGGCCGCGTTCCCTGAAACATCTGTTCAGCGGAAGTTACCGCAATCAAGAAGCAAATAGACTCAGTGGCGTTTACGAACTGGTCCTGCGTCGTTCTTCGGAAGCAGGTAGCCCAGGTTTGTCTTGCTACCCTTAGCGTAGACCCCTCTTGATCCCATCCCCCTCCTTATCGATATAATAGTCGCATGAATTTAAAGAAAGGATATTTTATTCTCTGAATGTTACATCGCTTGATTATTTAATAATTGACACTCACGATGACTATTATATCATGTTATTAACGAATTGGCAATTTCCTTCATTATGTTTCATCCTTTGTTAAGTTTATATTCCCCAAAAGAAAAAAGAAAATTTTCAAACTTGGCCGAAACGAAACGTTCATACTATTTTCTAACATTTCTAACATTTTCCTCTTATTCAGTACCTACCCCACTTTTGCAATTGTTTTTTGCAGGCGTTCAGAGGCGACAACGCCGCGTATTAGACACAAGCTCTACGTATGTTAGGGGAGAAGAGAACCTACACGGATGGAGACCTCGAGGAGATAGTTTAATATTCGATCATCAATGGGAGTTAGAAAAATTAACAAGATTAGAGGAAGTGGAAAGAGTGAGACACACATTGCTATTGCGAGAAAAATTGGGAATCGATAAAGTATCATTCTGCAACAAAATGTCACATGATTTCACAAAGAGCGAAAAGGTAAAACAATCTTATAACTCTATAACTCTAACATATTTGAGTTATGGAAAAGATAAATAAATACATCCGTTATTTATTCAATGTAGGAGGTTTGCAACATGATGGCAAAGGCAACGAATGAAACGCACGCTAGCCCAGTAAAATTGAAGCGTTCAACGAGTAAAGACATTTACGAGCCATGGGAAATGACAGAAAGAGAAAAGGAACTAGCCACAAAGTATATTAAACTTATTCAAGGTCGAATCCCAAGCAAAGAACCCATTCTATTATCCGACGTTTCACCCGGAGAAGACACTATGACTGATATGTCAGCATCCATGATGTCTTCAGTGATATCATCCTCGTCCCAAGAGTCAGTATACGAGAGAGCTAGTGATTATTTAAAGCAGGTAACCCTCTCTGCATGCCTGAGTGCTCCTGCTAGTAGCGGTTGTCCACGCTTCATCGCATCATCGTATTTTTACCTTGATGGCAAAAATAGATACATATTTGTTTTTCGAGATTCAAAAAAAAAAAAAAACTCTTTCTTCATTCATATCATCATTTATTGCCAGCAAATTAAAAGTGTTCAATTATTGGATAATTAATTAAAAAATCAAGATTTCTCTTAACAATAACGAGTGAAGATAGCGAGAATTCAATTTGAAGATCGACTTGTCTCTTCCATGTATGAGCTTGCAACAAACTCAATGAAATTAAAAGTTCAATCCACGTTCGTTTCTAATACTGATCAGTAATTGTTTATTGCGCAAGTTTCGAATAGCTTCGCTCAGTGAAAGTCGCGCTTTTAGCGCAACCAGCTTTTAAGAATCGCTTTTTATCAATTCTGAAATACGACAACTCGAGACTTTCGAGTCAAAGACAACCGCCAGCACAATTGGACGCGATCAGGGTGATGCTAGAGTGTTACTTGCAGGCTGCTGGTATAATAGTATGGAGCAGGTCTAAGTCGTGCATCTTTAGGTTAAGTTCACCGGAGAGAGCTAGACTGCAGGAACTGCAGGAGAGCATATTAGCCAGCGAATCCACTAACCAATCGTGTACCATTGCACCAGCTCCTTTGGGTTCATCTTCCCCATCGAAGGAAAATTTGGTACTCTACGTGCCGGAAGTCGAGGAAATTCGTATCAGTCCTGTTATTGCTAGGAAAGGATACTTAAATGTACTGGAACACAAGACTAATGGTTGGAAAAAACGCTGGGTGGTACGTACATTTTGAATGAACTATTTCTATTTGTTCGTTTCTAGAATTGATCGATATTAAAAGTATTATTGATCATTAGGCTGTGCGACGACCATATGTTTTAATCTTTCGGGAAGAGAAGGATCCAGTGGAGAGAGCTCTCATTAATTTAGCTACTGCTCAAGTTGAATATTCTGAAGATCAATTAGCTATGGTGAAAGTACCTAATACTTTCAGGTAAATTATTTATCTTTGCATGTTAAATAAGTTATTTACTTTTGCATGTAATCTGCGTCAGATTACTTGAACCGGTATTCCTTATTTTACAGTGTCGTTACAAAACATCGAGGATATTTATTGCAAACTTTAGGAGATAAGGAGGTTTATGACTGGTTATATGCTATTAATCCTCTTCTTGCTGGTCAAATTAGGTAAATTTGTAATCAGAAATTAATGTATAAATTTAAATCACTACATAGAATTGATAAAAATTGCTTTGTAAAAAAAAAAGTCATTATTAACTTGATATATTTGATAACTATTACAGGTCAAAACTAGCGCGCAAAGGGCCAACTACGAATTTGAATAACGCTTCGCCTGTTGGTCTAGTTCCGCCCATAGATCAGCAATCGAACCAAAATAAGTGAGTGGCCGATGCATTGGCCGAGGTAACGAGCGTCATTGCGAAAGCTTCCGAAAAGATGCTTTACTGGTCGCACTCGGCCTTCGAATCTCATGATCTCTGTAGCTTTCGATTTTCGGTAGTCTTCGATTATTAAAACGTCTCGAAAAATGCGTACTAACGATTGACTACCAGCTTCGATAGCCACCGATTAATATCTCGTGACATCTAATTTAACTACTCGTCAGCCACAACTCCTGGCCACCGGATAGAAATAAAATGAAACTGAAATGATAATGGAAACAGTTCTTAAATGCAAAGGCGTGTTATACGTGTTCGAATCATATTGAAATTATTACCTTTCAGAATATTGCAAACTCTCTCCTCCCTTGGTCTCTCCGTTCATTTTGAGACGCAATCAAAATGTACACAACGTCGATGAGACATCACCGCGAGTTCGCGATACCTATCTTACAGTATATTCGAATTTTTCGATATTAGTCGGTCGTACGAAGCGAGTCTCTTTTAAGCGTGGAACGCATACACAGTGAAGAGTTATTTATGCCTAAATAAAACATTCCTAAGACGATCATAGAAAACAAGGCAAGTATACACACATTGTAGGTATACTCTTTAAAGAGAAGATGTGGCACGAGAGAAAGCAAGAAAGAGAGGGAGAGAAAGAGAGAAGTAAGGAAAAAGGCAATGTAGCGAGATTACGAATTTCTGAGTGTTCATATTTGAGAGAAAGAGATAAGAGCGAAAGAGAAGAGAAACGAAAGGAAAACAAAAAAGAGAAACAGAGATTCTATGCTGAGGAAGTGTGCAGATTATTTCGAACGCGAATTCTAAACAGTAATCGTTGAATAATTCATTGTTAGTAATTCGTTTATGTAATTATGTTTGTCTATTACAACCGTTATCGAAATAATCCTTTTTCCTCTTGTTTCGTGTTGCTGTAGTATAATACATTTTGCGCCTCGAATAACAAATACTTCACTCATAAGTAACATGTTGGGATCGCAACGCTGACTTAAATTTTTACTCTTACTGCATAGATCAGTATTCGAGTATAAGAATCGAGAGAAACATTTTTCTGTCACAACAGGAAAAGTTTGTAATAATAATACGAATGATTTGCAGTATTATTTAGACGAAACGACGAGTCAGACATGTTTTCAATTCAGTACAAACGTTCGTCAGTGTTAGTTACTGGCATAGTCATCATTATCGTTTAAGAGATATCTTTCTTAATCAATTTTAACTGTATTTCAATTTTTCTACCAATTTTACGTAACCGAGATATCAGGAAAACGATTACTAACATATTGTGTTGAACGACAGATAAAATAAGAAGTTTGTAAGAAATTTCAAAGCAGATTATTTCCTCGGTCGTTTGTACGCGGTGGTCTACACAAAAGTGAGTCCCGCTCCTGTTACCGTTTTTGCTTACTAACTGTTGTAGAGTCTGATAGTTTTATTTTGTTAACGACGATATACGTGTCGATGAAGAACAAGAAATCGTACTTTAATAAGTTATATACGCATTCGGCGCTTTTAACCCTTTGAAGCAAAAATTTAGATGAAATGAACCGATGATGTCAACAGTAGTCATTTTCTTCTTTGTATACATAAATTTTATTATTTATTATATATTTATATATATATTATTATTATTTATTACCTATTTATATTGTATATTATTTATTTTAATTTATGTTATATTTTTGCAACCACATAGTGTAATTACAGTCCACAATTTAAGTTATTTTAGTAAAGTTATTTTAAAGTAATGGAATTTAATAAAATTGTAAATGCATTTAGTTAATATTACCAAGTATACAATATATATATTTTACAATTAACAATTTTTGCGTAAATAGTTATAAAATAGCTTAAAATATAAATATATATTTATTGGGGATTTTGATTGTTTATTTATTGAAAAAAATTCCAATTAGATAAAGTATAATATGATAAAATAAACGAGTTAATGGACAATACCACCGTGATAAAATTTAATTATTTGATTTGTTGTGTTTCATAATATCCTCAAAATGAGTCCATATTTAATTTTTCCTATTGTAATAAAAGGAGTACAATTTTGGTTAATTTTAAAAATTAAATGATCTTTCATCCTTCAAAATCTATGGAAAACATTGTGCAATATTTTTTTAATCATATCCTTTTTTTTTATCAGAAAATAATGTTCAGTATTATATTGTTGTTTATCTCTAATAATATATCAAAGAGATTCCAATACTTATTTAAAATGGGAATGATAAAATCCATGTAACAAATATAAAAAATACATATAAGAAATATAATATTCATAACATTAATTCTTGAAAGCAAGAACATTAAAAATCTGAACTGAAGGATGCAAGAAGTGTACTCTTTCTGCATTGCTTTTTCTAAGATATTCATTGTATATCTACAGAATAATTGTACTTTAACAGATCTAGGATTAAAATTTACGAAAGATTTATGAAATGCGCTTTTACATAACAAAAAAATTAATCCGTGTATAATTAAGATATTCACTCTTTTTTTTTAATATATAAGAAAATATTTATGAACTGTACAAGGACATAATACTTACATATATGCATAATATATTTATGAATATTACGATATGTAGCATTTATATTTTAATCATGTTATTTATGAATAATTTATTTGTTATACTATATATAACAAACAATTGTGCATGTAAGTAAAATTAAGTAAAAAGAAAAGTATTGCTTCAGGGGGTTAAAGACACAGTTTATTACTACACGAAGAAAAAAAAGAAATTGAATATTAAGCATGGAGGAGCCGAATTAAAAAAAAAAAAGAAAAAAAAACAAAAAAAAAATAAAAGAAAATAGGACATGCAAGTGAATGGAGAAAAAAATGATACGAGCGTTATGAACAAAAATGCAGGAACGCTATCGATAAAATTAATAATCATTGTTGTTATTAGAAGTCAAAATACGGAATTAAGGAGAAACGAGAACGAGAGAAAGAGAGGAATTAAAAGGGAGAGAATGAAGAAACGCGTGTGCGCGAGAATGAGTGCGAAAGAGATAGCGCGAAAGGACATGTTTGCTTATATATATATATATACCTTATATATAGATAAAGTATATTATATAAATATATAAATAAATTTAATATTAACACAAGCATTTTGTCAAATGTCGAAAATCATCTGTAGACATACAAAAAGAGGCTAACGATGATTTGACCTGTACCAAGTATGTAAGTTCATGTACTTGTTTGTAAGGTAACTAAAAACTCTAATGCAGAAACGTTTTCATTTTTGATCGTTTGCTATGGAAAGAAAACATGCATCGATGCTGTAACTTGTATTTATTATTATTATAATTATTCGATTTTCGCTAGACTCACTGTAAGTGGTAACGTGTAATAAATCGGTCAATAAAAAGCTTACATGCTTAAAGAACATCTTTTATGACGTATCCCTGTATTGAATTTAACATTAAAAATTTGCTTTTCCTTTCCTGTGATAGGAATCAGGGAAAATAAATAAAATGTTCAATTAATTTTATTTAATCATTAAAAAACCCTGTACATTAGAAATAAATTCATCAAAATAATTTCTAAATCTTTTCTTATCTGTATAAACGTCTTTCCAATGAAAATTTATATTTTCATTTGGATTAAATTTGTTTTTCAACTTTGTAAAAGCATCAGCTAATCTTTGTACAACTTGTTGATCCGACTGACTGGATAAAATATTTTGTACAATCTGGTCATATTCATCTGGATAACAGCGTATTAAATAATAAAGAGATATGCACACATTTGATATAAAATTTGAATCAACTTGATGTGTTAAAATAACAGTAATTAGTAACTAAAACAGAAACATCAATTAGAATAAAGTTATATATAATTTTATTACTTTAAAGAATAACTTACATTTAAAAACGGTGCCATTATTTGACTTCTTGGACGGCCGTCTTGAATATTTTGAAAAATTCGTCTTGTTAAAATTTCAATTATGTTACAACATAACATAGATACTTCATGACCAAACGAGAATAAACCTAACTCTATCGATGCTAAAAGTGGTCGTAGTAATTCAGACGACAAATTGAGTACTTTTTGGGAACCAACTTTACAAAGAGACATTATCATTTGAAAATAACTGTAAAAAAATGTATTTTAATTTAATTAACTTTTATGATTTAGATCCAAGTAACAAAAACTATACAACTTACTGTAAACATAAACATGGAAATTTTAATAAATCCGTAGTCATCATAGGCATAATTATGGTTAAACCATGTAAAAACACTGTTTTATCTTGCAATATATTCTCGCATAAAAGATTAGTTAAAAGTTTCATCAGTAACAAAATATCTTGATAATTGTCTTCTTCTGCAGTTGAATCTATAGTCAGTCTATTAGTATTACAACGCGTATAATTTCGTATTGCACTTAAATATATCTCAGATATCTGTGCAGTATCAGTCTAAAAGAATAATATTATAATAGAAATAAATATTATTTTTTCATGACAATTATTGTACGAAAATGATCTTGCCTGAGTAAAACCACGAAGAACTGGTTCTGGTCCATTTGTACATTCAAAAAGTAACTCTAAGATTAATTGTACTATATCTTGATAATTATGGTATAAAGATATTAAATTTGGTAGCTCGCGTAATACCGGTTGAATGTACTGATATAGTAATCCTATTTCCGATCCTCGTGCGCCTTGTGCCACTCCTACAGTACATTTTAAATATGAAAAAGAGAAAATGAATATTATTTAAATATATTAAATACCTTATATACAGTTTACTTACATTCTAAATTAATAAAAATCAAATAATAATTAAAATGATTTACCAATAAAACATTCTAAAACATCTATAACTTGAATTTTAATTTCCTCTTGATGGTAACATTGCAAAAATTTATCGTTTGAAGTAATTTGTTTAAATTTGTCTAACAAAGGTTGCAAAGTCTGTGTCCAATATGATTGATCTATCTTATTTTGTACAGTAATTGCAACTTGGACCACTGCTTGCATTAATCCTTTTTTAACTACTAGCGGAAAGTCATGTTGTCCTTTTATGGCCAAATTGATGATGTTTCCAAAGCGTTCAGATTTTAATACATAATCAGCTCTGAAAAGAATATATGTAGTGGAAAATGATACACATAAAATATAATACTTCTTTTACTGAATATAATACAAACTTACTTTTTTGTTCTACTAACAAGTGATATTAATAACTTAATAGTTTCTTCCATTACTGCAGGCTCACTTTTGAAGGCATTAATATTGAATTCTATTTTTTCTAAGAGAAAATTTATAGCCCATACTGCACCTGCAGTATTTTCTCCGAAAGTATGTAAAAATGTAAGAGATATCTCAGAATAATGATATTCTATTGATAAAAGATAATGTGAAGACCATTTGTGTAGAAACCAAATTATGGTGCAACTTAATTCAGGGCTTAGTATATTATCTAATAGAACAGACATTGCAGCTTTTTCTATGACACATAAACGAAAAATACTTGCAACTAACCGAATGACATGATCTACTGATTCTGTGGCAATATCAATGGAAGATGAAATATTTTCTGATGAAGCTAAAAATTGTAATGTAAAATTCATATCAACTTTTCCTTGTTGCACCTACAAAAAATACATTATTTCTTATAAAAAAAATTATTATATTACAAAATGAAATCCTAATTTACTGTTCTCATTCTATTTACACACCTGTTCCATATCATATCTCATTATTTCAGTAGGTATTAAAGCAAGTTCACCATCAGATTCCATGCAAAGTATATTTCCTATCATAAGAACTAGCCAATGTATGTCTTCATATAATCTAGATAGAGAATCATTTTTCATTGTATGAAGTGATTCAATTTGTTCTAATAATTTATTGAAGTTTTCACGTAATTTAAAAGTACGATCTTCGATCAATTGTGCCAATAATGGAAGGGTATAATTTGGTATTTGTCTACCAAAAATTCCTAAAATAAGGAATATATTTTATAAGAAAAATATGTATACCATCTATTATATATCTATGAGCACATGTAAAGTTTACCAATTATTTGTAAATGTTCTTTGAATTTATCTTTATCAGCATTTTCATTGTCCAGTTCTTCCTTTTCAAGATCTTTATCTTCAATATTTCTTATGCCTTCTGGGGGTGATAAGTGACATTGTAAATATATGCTAAATATTTGAACAAAAGTTTGCTTAAGAAATTCCTGAGAGAATAAATCTTTTTCAGATAAAATATACAACCACGCATCAAATAAAGCATCTAGAGCTTCTGTATATAAACATTCGCCTATGCTTAACTACAATAAATAAAATAATTTTATTAGTAATTATACAATTATTTTTTATTTATAATTTATTATTACTTACTGATTCTTCTTGTGCTGCATTTTTTAAAAACATGCAAGTCAACCGCGACATTTGTTCCAAAAATGTTTTCATTACATCAGCAGATAAAGAGTAAAATTTTTTTTGAAAAGATGTAAAAAGTTTCTTAATGATATTAGCAATTCCGCTTGCCTCTTCGTCAATAATATTAACGCTTGTAATTAATTTTAAAAATCTTTCTATATAATTAGTGAAGTATTGCATCTCCATTTCTTCAGATTGCGTTTTTGTTCCACTCAAATTTACCATTTGAACTAAACATGTTCTTATATGATGAGCTAAGTGTGGATTTTCTCGTATTTTCCAGTACAATGTAAACATTAAATCTAATATAGATGGGACTAACATTATATCTTCCCAATCTTTATCCAATTCCAAAGGTACACAGTTTATCGATTCCCGAACATCTTCCAATACATCTTGTGCTATGGCATTAAGGAATTAGAATAAGAGTAACAATAATAAAGAAAATAATCTAAAATATCTAAAATTAAGAGAGAAAGGGAGAAGGAGAGAGAGAGGCTGCAACAGGTTTTTATAAAAAGGATATTTGTATGTTTTACGTAAACAAATGTCCATGTAAATATATTTTCTAAAATTGGGAGTAATTGTTTCAGAAAAGTTATGCTATTTTCCTGTAAATCTTTTTTAATTAATTCTTCAATTATTCCAATACAAAATTTAAAAATTCTTTTCAAATCAATATTTTGAAATATCTTCTTTTCATTGAAATGTGTTTCCCATGTTAAACCTATATTTGTAGACTTAGAATTGATTACATATTCTTGCATTATTGCAGAAATAAGATTACATCCCAGAAGTTTCTAAAAACATTAGAAAGCATTACAATACATAAAACCATGGAACAATATAAATTTAATTAGTTTTATTTACTCTTGGTAAATCACCAGTCATTATTAAATTTTCAACTTCTCCTAATATGGTTTGTCGAGCCTGTCCAGAGTCATTTACACTACCTCTTTTTATTATAATTGCAATAACTTGCAATATACATCCTTTGACATATGGAGGTAAGTTTGGTTTGTTTATAACATAACGTAACAGATAATCTCTTAATGAAGAAATATCTATTTGTGATAATGATGGCCATTCCCGTATTAATGCTATTTTTATTAAGCCAACTGCTTCAAAAACAATATAATCATTTGTATTAGTCTCTAAAATTTGACTACAGAGTTCATAAGGAGATTTAAGTTTTCGAAAATTTAAAAAAACTTCTTCTGCAGAATGACGTTGTTCTGTTGTAACTAAATTTGGTGGTGCCTAAAAAGAGAATGCAATTATCAATGCAAATAAAAACATATGTTCTTCTACACATAAATATTAATAAAAAAATACATATAAGTAGCTATTATAAATAAATCATAATAAATTCTATAGTAGAAAAATAAATAACATTTCAATTATAAAACATTTAAAACTAAACATACAGTAGATATTTTTAAATATTTTTTTTACATTATACATTTTCCTGTTAAATTAAACATAAAATAGAATAATACTAATATTACGTATAATCAATATTTACATAATCTTTTAAAAGTTTAATAAATAATTTTATTTATAACCTTCATGAAAACTATTTTATTATATATAAACATACCAAAATTATTTGCGCAGCTTTTTCTAATTCATTCATTAATTGTTCTGCCATTTGTTTGAAAATATTAGAAGATTATAAATTAAAATAATGTTTGTAAACAAATTTATATAATAAACAACATTCGTTACACACTTCAACCCGGCGCAAGTTCGAACTAAACTGAACTTGCATTCTGTCACTTACGTCACTTACGAGCATTTCAAGTTGAATTTATTGCGCATTTTAATTTCTAGGATTATACAATATGTGTACAATAATTATATGTAAGTATATATATATGATATAGATCGAAGATATAATTTAAAAATTAATTACTAAATTATAAAATTTCAATATATTAAATGACAATTTCATTTGTCCTGTCAATGTTTGTTTGTATAGCATGGTATAATATTTTCAAATAAAGTTAGAAATTAATGATAAATTTAAAAGCAAAGTAATTACAAATGAAAATTATAAACAAATGAATAAAATAAAAATTTTAATTTAAGACAATGAAATAACTTATTTAATTAAATTATCAAATTATTTAATACAATGAATGTATACAATATCCTTTATATGTTTTTTTTCATATTTTTATTAAATATTTATACATTTTAAAAGTCAGTAATTATATAATTATACATACAATGCAATAATTACAATACACAATGTAATTTGTATAAAATTATTTACAATAACGATCTGCCTTCATTTTACTTCTTCTATCTAATAAAGCTTCATGCAGAGTTCCTTCTTTTTTTGCTTTTTCTAATTTAGAACTATCCTCCTTACTTATTCTTAGTTTTTTGTCCTGGAATTTCTGAAACTTTCTCCTGAAATATTATCATAATATTATATCTTTATGTATTAAAATAAATAACGGTATTTGTATTACTTACACATAATTCACTTCAACATCATGAAGAGAACCTTGTTCTTCTTTGGGAATGTCTTTGTTTGGATCTTGAGCTTTTTGGGTTATACTTCTTATAGTACAAAATTCAGAAGAGCCAGCAGTCCTTTTTTGACAGATAATATCATCTTCATCGGTGACTGATATGAAACAATCATTGCTATTTAAAATGGCAAGCTTGTTATCCTAAAAAAATCAAAGATGTTTTAATAAAATAATTATAGAGATTTATAAACTTTGAATTTATAAACTTATTTACCTGAAATATTGGTTCCCACTGTTCAATCATGCCTACTGCATCACTTCTTCCAACAACAACACCTTTTTTATCAACACCTAAGTATTTTCCATAACCAGATTTCAATGCAATTTTAGTTTCACTTATTGGGAAAGCTGTTAGAATTTCTTCTGGTGAAGGTCCTTCCCCTTCATTATGAGGAACACCTAAGGTAAATAATCCATTATCTAATGCTTTCATATAGACATGATTTCCAAATTCAATTGCTACAGTTCCTGTGACTTCTGATACTTGTGTAGCTTTCCACCAACTACCTATAATAACATAATAACTTTGATAATAATTAACACAAGCAAACACATACAATATTATAATACCATGACTTATAGTATCTTTATCCTCTGAAGTTATGACATGTTCTTTTTCTTGTTTTTTCAATTTTCTTTTCTTAACTCTGTAAAGGATATTAGACAAGAAATTATTTCTAATTAAGCATTGAAATGAATAGGTTAAGTATGATATTTAATTTATACTTTTTTTTTTCGCCTTTCAAAATAAGTTTTCCAGATCTCACTTTATCATATTCTGACATTTTCGTGTTTTTTTACATACATTAATAATGAAATTTACTTATTAATAATTCTATAGCTTTTTTATTTATTTTATCTAAAATAGTAAAATATTTTTATTTGTAAGTTAAAGAAAAATATTTTTTTTTTATACTATATGTTTGGATGAAATTATTCTTGTTTATTATGAGACAAATAGTGAAAATTTTCGTATTTTATATTTATTTTAACGGATGACAACAAACATCAATGAAGCAACCATTCAAACTACACTTATCTTTCGCTAGTTATATTTTTTGTAAATCCAACCTAAAATTTTAGTAATTAATATAAACTGGTGTAATTCTATTTTTTTGGTGTAATTATATTTTTCTATTAAAATTTACTTGAATTGGTTAAAATGAATTATGCAAATTTTTGATATCAATATTTATTTTACGTTATTATCATATCTGAATAAATTAGATAATAATAATGTGTTATATATATACACAATCGAAATTTTCAAGTAAAAATATGAATATATATTTATGAATATTTAGATTTGTTATAATTACATTATTCATAAAATAATGATATAAATAATAAATTATATAATATAATTTTATATGTAATGTATAATACAATAATTTACACTATATTTATAATCATTATCAATTTATACATGTATATTTAAGATCATGAAAAGTAAGAATATTAATTATTATATTTTGTATATTTGAATACTAGAAACATTACAGTAACCAAATTTAACCGCAATAAAATAATTTTAATGTATGCATAATATAAAAATTGCAAATACAAAGTTCTTTCTGGAATTCAAATTCAAATATTTCTGCAAATAAATATATAGAATACAAAATTTATTTTATTATTATATATTTAGATAAAATATAAATATATAATTTTTTATTAAAATCGAGATTACAAACAAAGATTATTTCATAAATATGGAATGAAAATATCATATTATTAGGACGTTACAAAATTCGTAAAAATATATATGTGTTGTGTATATGAGTGTATAATTTATGCGCATAATTATTTTACGAGTTTTATAAAATTAGATTATAAAAACATCTTTTTATAAAAGCCACGATCTACATGATAGAATTATGTGTAAAATTAAAAATGTATAATTTCATTGTATTTAGTAGTGAATACTAGACCTTCACTAGAAAATTAAATTGTGGCACACTTTGAAATGTAACAATAGCATAAGATTTCTTTTTGAATCTTAGTAAGAATTTAAATCGAATAAAACAATTATATTTCGTTTAATATCAAATTGAATTGAATAATTAATTCTAATGGATTAAAAAATTTTTATCTAATATACGAGAGTTGTAGCACTGATATATTTTATGTTGGATGTTATATTTAATGAAAAGCAAAATTTATATTTATCATAAGTATATTGGAATTGTCGAAATGTTATGTAACATTAAAAAATTCAATTTAATAAATTAAGAAAAAATATTGTAAATATTACTATTTTTTATACATATACTATTTTACAAAAAAATTGATGCATACAAATATTTTGATAAAAAATTTTACACATTAATCGTAATTTAACATCTAATAATAATTTTTTGAATTTTGTATTACGATTCAACACTTCTCTCTGCATTATGATAACACTAATAATTATAAGATGCTATTTTATCAAATATTAAGTCTTTCTATTAGTAAGAATAGAATAAGTCATTTTTCATTCTTTCCTTTCTTAAGAAAGATGTTCATGACATAAAATTTTTGCTATGAAAAGCATCATATTCAGTGCAGACTTTTTTTTGCAAATATTAGTGGGATTGACCGATACCAAGTGTGAATCTTATTCGATTTTTAGTATACTATTATAGTTTTGTAAATATTAATTATTCACACTTCGTCTGGGAATTGGATATCGAAGTACTAAAACACTGTCTGCTGATATAATTGGTAATACATTGTCACAATGATGGTTTACTAAATGACTAACGCTATCAAAAACACGATCTTTTGTGCGAACCTGCAATTACAATATCAATCATAAATATTTGTTTCTTTAATGTATGTAAATTTCTTTCATTGACATTTTTTAAAATACTTACTACTCCTTCTGGATCAATTAATAGTAAATGTTTCGGTGTACCATTATTCATACCAGTAAGGACATATTGTCCAGGCGAGCCTTGAGATTCTCGAACCAAAAAATCACCATCCTGTCAAATATATTAAATTGAAAAAATAAAATAAATTATATATGAATATAAATCGTAATACCTACTCTTGTTAGCATTGATTCTGCTTCAGCGCGACTAACACTACCATGGAACCAAATCTCTTGCTTTAATTGTTGCTTTTGAGAATGTGGACTTAATCTATTCATATCTGATATCGCAGAACTAAATGGCTCTATAAAATTATATTTTGTTACACCGGAATCTTAGTGAAAATATTCCATCTTAAATTACTTACGCATATCAAATACATCGAAAAGCGGTGTTTGATCACGGTGACTTTCTCTGGTAGCTGCTATAACACTGTCATTTACGTAATTATGTTCAGGAGGAATATTAAAATTTGTTGATGTTTCATCAGAATTCAGATCAATTAAGTTACCACTTTCTATAATAATATAAATGAAGTTATTTTTCATCATTAAATAAAATTTCGTTAAATAATAAGATTTAAAAAAGATATTACCTGCCCATTGTTGATGATGTCTATCAGAATTCGAAAACGTATCATGTAATACAGAGTTTTGTATATTGTTGCGTGACACATGATTTTGAGCAGAGTGATGATGTTTTAAATTAGGTAGTGTTGATGCCGTAATTGGTAAAGGTGGAACTGGTGGAGGACCAATATCTGGTGGTACTTTGCCTGGTAGATCATTATAATAATCTCTATCTGCTTCTCGCATTCCATTTAACATAGGGCTATATTATAGAATAGAAATATTTTAAATAAAGTGTTAAAGATAAATTTTATAATGAATAAAGTTTGTTTAATATTTATAATTACTGTAATGAAGCCGGTTTTGTAAGAAATTCTTTAAATCGTAATTCAAAAGCTTGTCCAATAGTGGATATAACATCTTGTGCTAGACCTCCTCCACATTCTAATACATAACAAGCACGCCATTCTTGCATATTTTTAGCAACATACGCTACGAAATCTAGTATTTCCTATTAAAAAATATATTAATCAATTCACACTTTGCAATTATATAAATAGAAATGATAATAAAAACTATCTTATAACATGCAATTTTTTGCATTTACCGTATCTCCACCTGAAGCAAAAGATATACGTGGCATTTCATGTTTAGCAATAATATGTCCAGTCTCTATGTTAGTCAAAGCTAAACTGCAACTACTAATAGTCAAATTTATTGTAGCACCTGTATGTTCCATGCGAGGTTTATCAGCAATTGCTCTTAACACTTTCCTATCCACCTTTAAATATAAATTATTATAAATTTCAAGTTGAAATTGCTAAAAACAAAAATTAACAAAAATTAACATACCCTTCTTTTTTTATCTGCAGATTTTAAACCAGCTGCTTCACAAACTCTGTTTATACATTCTCTAAAAGAAATTGGTAACATGTTCAAAAGGTATTAATGTTTCTTTATGATATTTCTTTATATATGAAATAAACTTTACAAAAATATTTAAAATCTTACTTGGCAACACATGATCTTGTTTCAAAATCTAAACTTTTCATAGATGTGTATACTTCAAGACATCCTATATACTAAAAATCATAAAATATAACAATTAAATATCTATAACTTATCAGTATTAATACATGTATTAATAATAAAAAAATAAAAACTTACTTTGACAGTATAAGTGATTCCTTCTTTACTCACTAAGTGATCAGGGTGTAACCATCCTCTGGCTGGCTTACTTATAAAACTACTACCTCCAGTTGCCATTTCTAAATTTTATACACATATGTATACGACTACACATTTAAAAGTTTTTAAATATTATATAGGATATGAAATATAACACTTTTATAAGCAAAAGAATTACTTCAAATATTTTTAATTTCAGTTTAAATTTAAAATTATCTGAAATCTAAAATACCAATATATCTTTTTCAATAAAATGATAGGTATAAACACAATATCGCTTACAATGGCATTTTTTGATACCTTATAGTTATTGTTATTGGTAATTTGATGATTATTATATAACATAGACAATGCAATTTAATATTATACTTTAATTAAAATATACTTATAATAATGACAATTGTGAATAAGAATCTTTAATTGTGAAAATTTTCGATTAAAGCACGTATGATTTACCAGGAAATGAGATCATACCTCACATACGGTTATTAGAATCATATGTCAATTATACTCATTTAGTACATTAATCATTTCGTAGAAATCTCATTCAGTACACTAATCATTTCGTAGAAATCTTTCAATCATTACATAAAATAATATATTACAATAAATTCGTATTAGTCTGCATTTTGTGCTACACCCAAGTTAGAAGATACATTTACTATCTTATAGAAAATTCCATAAATGCCAAACAGAAATTACCAATAAATTACCTATGTTCCCTACATTATCGACTGAATAAGTCATTAACTAATGACAGGATAGATGTAATATCATATAAAATTTCGAGTTTCACATTCTGCAATATCGATATTTGGAAAAAAATTAATGTTTTTTACGCCTTCTATGATTTGATGTATAGTCAATAATATGATCTATATAAAATTATAATTTTGTGAATTATTATAAATGTAAAAATTATATTTGAACTACTGTGCAGATGCTTATTTAACTTAAAAAAATTAAAAATTATATATATAGATACTTTGTTAGGTTAATTATTGTATTTAATTAATAAAAAAAATTAGAGAATGATTAGAGAAGGAAAGAGGAAGTTATCTTTTATTTCAAATTATATAATGTATTTTTGCAATAATTTTGAATAAATTTAAGTTGAAAATATTTTTCTTTTTTTTTAATAATATTGTTTCCATAAATTACCGATTTATTTTTTAGTGGCTCTTAAGAATATTCTTCATGTTCGAGCCCCCACCCTGCCAAATTAAATTACAGTACGAATTTATTGTGCGGTGGGTTAGTCTATTGTCGAAAATCGTGGTGTAAAGATATATGTGCGTGACGTTTATTAGCTGCATAATACTTTCATATTTACAATATATATCTGTTTATTTCATATATTTGTTAACTTCATTTAATTAACATACGTTCTAAGATAATAATTAATCGAATGTTATCAAAACTTATAATATTATTATAATTTATAACGGAGTTATTTTTTTCTCTTGAATCGTATTTTTGGTTGTCACATTTACTGCTAACTTATATTATGAGCTTTCAAAATAATATTTGAACTTGATCAGTGTTTTATTTTCATTTATTTCTTTTATATGTTTATTTGAAAATTCTAATTTTCTTTTGGTTGAATGTGCAACAAAATTCAAAAAGGCTTTTCTAGTTAAAGCTTTTCACAAAGGTATGATAACATTTATTTAGATATTGATATATTTATTGAAACTTATATTATTTGTTGAGTATTCAATGTATATGCATTCTTAATAAATAATTTTCGGGAAAATATGTTATCATGGATAATTTTGAACACATTCTACGCATCGCATCTTTTGTACATTGCGCAGCTTCGTTTATTGAAAATAAAAAAGCGCCATATACGAAATACAAAGTTTTTAAAATTCTAACGAATATTCAGTATTATAGTTTTTGCAAATACGAAATATTCATGATTACTTGACAACATTAAGAAATACTTTATAATCTGAAATATATTAAATACATACAGAAATGTTTTTAATTGAATTAATTAATATTAATATATTGATATTATTATTCTATTTAATAATTAATATATTAATTGATATGAAAAATTAATAGAATGACAGAAAAGTCATTTTATATTTCACATTATATCTCACAGAATATTTTGAACTTACTAAATATTTTCCTATTTTTAAGAACAAATTATAATATTTTATATTTTTTTTCAGCTTTTACTTCCTTCATAAGATTCAACAATTTCTATTTGATAACAACGTTCTTCGGGTGAGTCACATGCATTTTTGTTCTTCTGGTTACTCAATTATGTTGCAGAATAAAAAATCCGAATGATTTATCATCCTCTTAATAAGAAATTTATTTAGAGCATGAAAAATCATTTTTTTTACTATATATTTTGTCATTATGTTCGTTTCGAAGTATGTAGTAGTAGTAGTATTTTTTCCCCATGTATTATATGTTGATCTACTACGTACGTTTATCTATTGAGTAAATCATGATAAATGCTTTTTATTAATGTTTTGACAGACTAATTATGGTTTGTACTTTTATAAAATAATCAAGATTTCTCTGTGAAAAAATATTTATTTCGGTTTGTATTATAATTAGATAATAATGATCGCGTTCGCTTTTATGTTCCAAATTGCAAAATATTGCGTTTCATTTAAAATTGTATGTGCAAAGTTTCTAAGTAGGACTTAGAATTTTTTGAAATTAAATAAAAAACGAAATATAAATTAGATTTACATAGTTAAATAAAATATCTTTAAATTGATAGGAGATTATTAATTACTTTTTTAAAGATATTAATTTATGTTTAATATGTACATAATATTTATACAAGACATAATATCGTAATAACATAGTATCGTAATAACTATGTTTTATATGTAAGAATTCATTTCAAAATTTTCTTTTTTTTTATACAAAATTAGTATTTACGCAAGAGAGTAAGCTTATACATTGTATATAAATTTTAATTCAAATAAGTAGTAAATTAAATCACGATAATGTCACGAAAATGATGCGGAAAATAGATGATACGAAAAAGCATTGGTACGTCAAATCTATTCTCTCCTTAGTCAATGGTTTCATATTTGAAATTTGTTACCATACACTCCAACCTCAAAAATATTTTGTGCTTAGTTAATGCGTTAATTGTGTGATAAATGATATATACGATTATATTATATACATGATATAATTTTTATAGATCATGATATAAAAATATGAAAAGAATAAAACTTAAGCCTAGAAATCCAAATCCATTGTTTGAATTTTGGTTAGAAGAATGGAGAAAAGAGGCTGCGTCGAGAAATTCCGATTTGCAATATCATTTTTCGAAAGCACTCGCTGCATTAAAAAAATATCCCTTGCCATTAAAATCTGGGAAGGATTGTATAATATTGCAACACTTCGGTACGAAATTATGTTCGATGTTAGATAGAAAACTCAGTGAATATAAAGCTCAAAATAATGATTCAACAAGTGTGAATGATGTTTGTGAGCATTGTAGTTGCAATGAACAATCTGTATTTAAAAGGAAACACAGATCACAACAAATTATTATGGATGCAGATTTGGTACCTGAAGAAGTAAATATATTTATACATCTTTTACATACAGATGTTATAAAATATTCATAAAATAAATTTAATGAATATTTTGTTTCAAGACAGAACTAGTTACATTTGATGACTTGAATTTATCATCTTGGAATGTAGAAAATTATGCTGCCTTATTGATATTATATAAGAAGACACAAGAATGTTATTTAGGTATTTTTGAAAGATTATTTTTAATTTTTGCGTGTGTTTTCTATTATTGAATTATTCGATCAATGATGAATGCTACAATTTATTAGGATATATTGCTGAAGTAGACTTATTGTCTGAAATAAGACAGTTATGTGGTGCGTATCATGCAACAAAAACTTCAATTTTAAATTTGTTTGAAAATGGCTTAATTTCCATGATAGGTGCACCAATTAGGTAATAATATTTATTGACAACAAATTTTAAGTTTACAAGTGAAGTTAATTGTTTAGTATTATTAAAATTAATATAACTTGTATAGGTATAATCTTACAGAGCTTGGTATAAATATTTCAAAAATAATATGTAAAATTACAACTACTGATATAAAAACACTAAATTCTTTTGAAGCATTAAATCAAATTCAAATATCTTTAAAGACATTCATTACACAAAAATCCAAATTGATAAAGGATTCAACCAATCTTAATAATACATACGAGAACATGCAAGTATTTACACAAGGTGTTAAAGAAATAGAAACTAAGAATTTAAATAAACCTTCAAAAATATATAAATCTAAATCTGCAGAAATTATTACTATTGAAAATCATAAGGAACAAGTTGATAAGAATTTTGTAAAACAAAAGACCAAGAAAAATAATATCTGTACAAAAATTGTGCAAGAAGAAATGAAAAATGTAAAAGATATAAATCATGTGCATAACTTAGAAAATAATGAAGTAGATTTTATAAATGATATTCAGAAGAATATTTATTTAGAATCAAGCAACTTTGATGTAATATTATTAGTAGATACGCAAGAAACTGCTGGGTATGCTTTATTGCATTTTTAATTTTAATATTTCATAATATTGCATTTTTAATTTTAATATTTCATAATATATCTTTAAATAACTTTGATATAGTGGTAGGACAAAACCTCAACATGATGCTACTATCATGGAACTAACAAAACTTGGTGTATTATTTGAAATACGTCACTTAAAAGTTGGTGATTTTGCATGGATTGCTAGATGTAGAAAAAATAAAAATAATGAATTAATTCTACCTTATATAGTAGAAAGGAAACGAATAGATGATTTAAGTGCAAGTATTACAGATGGGAGATTTCATGAACAAAAGGTATATCATATATATAATATGTATATATAATATATATATATATAATATATGGTTTATGTTTTTATGTGATTAACTAAGAAATTATTTTATATAGTTCAGATTGAAGCAATCTGGAATTACAAATCTTATATATATCATTGAAGAATATGAAAAGGGTCAAAGATTGACCATACCACATTTGTCATTGATGCAGGCTTCTATCAATACTTTGATACAAGACGGTTTTTCTGTTAAATATACTAAGAATCATAAAGATTCCATATTTTATTTATCATCAATAACTAGAATTTTGATAAGAACTTTCAAAGTACATAATTTTTCTATAAAAAATTTTACTATTTTTATTTAGTTACTTAATTTAGTATTAATCATGTTCTATCAAATATTTTTCTAGGAAAAAAATTTGATAGGTTGCAAAAAAGAAGTTGTCACACAAACAAATATTTCAAATAATACTTGTAATTTTATGGTATTTGAAGAATTTAATAAAGCAGCATCTAAACAGAAGGTATTTGTACTACTTAAATAAGTATTCAAGATTATGAATTTAATGTTTACATCAATAAATCTTTTAGGTATTTAAAGTAAATGAAATGTTTGTTCGCCAATTATTACAATTAAAAGGGATGTCCATAGATAAAGCTTTAGCAATTGTAGAACATTATTCAACCCCGCAATTATTAATCGAAGCTTTCCGGGAGTCTAGTTGCAATGGTGAATTATTGTTAGCAAATATTGAATTTGGTGATAAGAAACGTCTTATAGGACCAACAATTAGTAAAACAATTTATCAATTGTACATGAAAAAAGATCTAAATTGATCTAACTGATCTAAAATTTTATATATACGAAGATATAAATCAATTATATACATATAATGATGAAGATTTATACAATTATAATACAATTATAATTTTTCAACATTAAATATTCTGTGATATTCTTATTATCATTAAAACCTTTTATACTGCATATCAACCTTTCCTATATTTACTAATAGTCAACCCGTAGAATTGTAATTCTAAGGCTCTTATTATTGTATTTACTATCTTGACTAGCAACAATGCGAAATATCTTTTGCT